AGTGTTCGGAGTGTATCGTGAAGAGAGTCTAGAGGAAAGTGTTCCAGAGAGTGTCCCTAACTCGGCGTCTGGCAGTGAGGTTGCTGAGGTACTGGAGGAGAGTTCCGGTAGTAACCTGAAGACACAGCTCAGTAGCAGTTCATCAGAGAATGAGGATAGTCAGCAGATTCAAAAGAGTGTTATAGAAGAGCATGTGGAGGACTCACCAAAAAGTATATCTGCAAGGAATATTAGAAAAGGATCTGAAGACAAGATTCAGAAGGATGATACAGTGTCAAGCGATGTTGTTGAGGGGAAACCACTCAAAACTCAAAAGAAGAATGAGGATCATTCCAGGCAGAGTGAAGCCACAGATTCTGCCGTAAAAGAGAAAAAGAAACCGAATAAGACAGGAACAAAAAGCAAATTATCAAACCATCGTGGGCACAGAGAAAAGAAAAAGAAAAAGAAAAAGCACATATCATCCTCAAGTTCTGCATCTTCATCAAGTGGCAGTGAGACATCCAGTGAAGAAGATAGGTCTTATAGACATCGTCCCTCAAGGAGGCACAGACACAAGCAAAAGCACTACTTCAATCCTTGGGTATATCTTTTATTTTTATTTAATTTAAACAGCCTTGCTTGTTACATTTCTTATTAAAAATCATTTTTGATTTATTACATGATTACTCTTTAATCCAGATATGCCATTGGAACATGATTGATAGAGATCATTTCCTATTATTTGAATGATTAGTAGCTGAATATAATGACTGATACATATTAATGTTTGAATTGTATTACTTCATGACTTTAGTATATTTATGTTCTATTTATATTGTCAGTTTGGTAAACTAACATCATTCTATTAAAAGAGGTTTTGTACAAATTACATAGATAATTGCTTACTTTATAACATAAGCAGAGAATGCTATGGCTGGCAAATGAAAAATATAGTAAATTCAAACAAATAGTTCATTGATTGTGAAATTCAAAACTTTTCTTTTTTTCCAGGAGCTGCCTCCATACATGAATCCCTGGATGGCTGTTCGTCCTCCACAACAACCATATTTTACTACAATCGGGCCCATTGAAACTAGTTTTATGCCCAGGGTTTCTGAAGGTATAGTATCATTGTTTACTTTTTATTGAACTGTTTTGTCATCAAATGTATGATATTTAGTCTGATTTGCCTGTTAATTAAGAGCATGTAATTGATGGAGATGTGCAAAATATGACAGTAGCAATGACCATGGGTGAGTAATGGGATGAGTTGGGTGACTCTAGGATTTGGATGTGTAGGTGAGTGCACACACAAAAAATACTAAAGAGAACATTAGCTGATGTGATATCTGATTGGCACCACAATTGTGTTGTACATGATCCATCTTTGCTTTACAATATGTTGAATATATAATGTGTTTCCTTCAAAATTATTTCCTCAAATGTTTTAGTTACTGAGAGAAACAATTTTATCATAATCTTTTGCTGGCATTTCAGGTAGTTTTCCAATGAGAAGTATTGTGGGTGCAGATGAACTACTAAGGCAACAAGTTGCCCTGACAAGGCAATTTCTGGATTCACAGAAATCCTTATACCATGCTTATACTGCAACACTTACATCATCACATCACTATACATCGCTGCTAGAGACGGAGAAGGTATTTTTATGAAGTTTTGCTATTAGGCATTTACAACCTACTTTTGCAATGAATGTACCAGTGGGCCTTATATAAACCCATTTTGAAGTGCTTTGGTAACCTTACTTTTCTTTTCCCCCTTTAAGCCTAAAAATATTGTCAACTCCATAAAAGTTTACAGATTCAGTGTATGTCACTGGACAGACTAGAGCATATATGTCATACAGCTGTGGCTAATATACTTCGTTCCTTTACTTTTACAGTATATTGCAGCTAGGAAGAAACCTCCACTAACCTTTGATGAAGCCTACAAGATGGTTAAAGAGGAAATGAAAGCTTCAAAGAGATGATGATGGGACCTCTTTTCATCATAGTTGACCAACCATTGGCCATCCGTTTGTGGCTTTTGCCTTTCTACTCAGACTGTGATACTGAAGATTCTAGTTACTTTATACCTCATCTCTGTACCCTCTTAAACAGTTGTATTTCTGCACTGATTTACATGTATTTTGCTGGTATATCGGAATCCACTGTTAAGTTTGTAACTATTTCTTAACTACAGCATTAAACTCATCCCAACTGCAAGTGTTCTAATGACAGAATTATACACTATTTTACCCATAATAAAACATTTTATCAAATATAGCTTATCATCCTCTGATAATTTGAGATTTTTTAAGTATGGGTGAAAAAATGGATGTGATATACATGTAGTGCCTGCGAAAATTGGCCAAGCTATAAAACAATAGTTTTGTAATATCTAAACCCTATGAGTGCCATATAGATGCAATGATTTATATACTTCTTAGGGACTTTATATGTTTAAATTTGGGTCAGTTTCCTAAAGAAAACACCAAGGCATTCTAAGACCTGCAAAAACTGGACATTTTTATTTGTGTGATATTTCTACCACAAGTTATCATTTTAGAGTTGACATTATATTCACATTTTCTTTCATCACTCTAGTAATGTTGATGTTGCAAGAAAGTCATCCTTAAAACTATTTAGTTTATGTATGTTTCATTCACAACACACTGATTGTCACTAACATTCAGTCCTTCAAAGATCTGGATATATTGATGTATTGAAACAAATACTGTTACAGGAATCTAATATGGGCTTAGTCTTGCATTAAATTATATATCATGACAATGATGTAAAATTATTAGCTCCCTTCCATACCCAACTCTACTATGGGTATGAGCAGTCTTGATATAATCAAGTCAGTTGTTTCCCACAGGCACTTTGGCCACATTCATAATAATAGAGAGGCTTTTACTGATTTTTCACCTCTCAGCAAAATAAAGTAGCATAGTAGCCTATTACATTAAAATGGGTTGCACTGGATTCTCATGCTTCCATGCACATGCATTTTTTTTTATAAGTAATTATATATTTTTGTGTGTGTTTATGTGAGAGGATCATTTCCTGCCGTTCCCTTCACCTCCTTGCTTGTTTCTAGCTATGGAAAGAATCAGGGTTCATTTGTTACAGCCCACATTATCAGGATTTTCATTTCATCTTCTTATACATAAGGTACTTAAACAAACAACACTGATGAAAAATCTGGTGATTTTTACTGCCTATGATAAATGATGCTCAGTATATGAGGCTTTGAGTATGAATTATATGCCTATGATGAATTGATGAGGTGCGACAATTGTGTCAGTACACTATGCGAAAAGATACAGAAGATACAGAGAGGGTTTCAGGCCATGTGTTATAGGTTCTGCATCTTCAGATTTGAAGTCGGTGCCACATATCAACTTTGGCCATTCGACGCAAAGCCTGACCCCAGTGTGTCAGTCGGCTGTCCAGTGGGTCTCCAGGTACGTCCATTTGACCTCCCACTGCATGCTGGCCACCGAATAGCTCTTCGGGACCAAAACTCACCGTTCCCAGTAATGCCTCTTTGGATGTGAGATGGTGGCGTGATCGCCCATTCACCTGCATGGAAAAGTTTCTGTTAGTTACCATGAAATAAAAAAAAATGTTTCTGGTTTTCTTCCATTGTTGGGTGTGTGGATTCGCAGTACTTTACTATGCAGTGTGTTAGGATAGGATTGCAGATTATTACGCTGAAAAATAATGTACACCTATACTTGTTTAATTACGTCATTCTCTCCCCGCCCCCCCCCTCTCTCTCTCTCTCTCTCCTCTCTCTCTCTCTCTCTCTCTCTCTCTCTCTCTCTCTCTCTCTCTCTCTCTCTCTCTCTCTCTCTCTCTCTCTCTCTCTCTCTCTCTCTCTCTCTCTCTCTCTCTCTCTCTCTCTCTCTCTCTCTCTCTCCTCTCTCTCTCTCTCTCTCTCTCTCTCTCTCTCTCTCCTCTCTCTCTCTCTTCTCTCTCTCTCTCTCTCTTCCTCCTCCCTCTTCCCTCCTTCCTCTCCTCCTTCTCTCTCTCTCTTCCTCCTTCCCTCCTTCCTCCTCCTCTCCTCCTTCCCTCTTCCTTCCTTCCCTCTCCTTTCTCCTTCCTCCTTCCTTCTCTTCCTCTTCCTTCCTCCTCCTTCCCTTCCTCTCTTCCTCCTTCCTCTCCTTCCCTCTTCCTCTCTTCCTTCTCTCCTTCCCTCCTCCTTCCCTCCCTTCCTCCTCTTCCTCTCCTTCCCTCTCCCCTTCCTCCCTCCTTCCCTCTTCCTTCCTCTCTCTTCCCTCCTTCCCCTCCTTCCCTCCTCCCTCCTTCCTTTCCTTCCTTCCCTCTTCCTCTCCTTTCCTCCTCCTCTCCTTCCCTCCCTCTCTCCTTTCCTTCCCTCTCTTCCTTCCTCCTTCCCTCTCTCTTTCCTTCCTTCCCTCTCTCCTTCCTCCTCCTCTCTCCTTCTCCTCCTTCCTCTCCCTTCCCTCCCTCCTTCCTCTCTCCTTCCCTCCTTCCTCTTCCTTCCTCCTCCTTCCTCCTCCTTCCCTCTCTCCTTCCCTCTCCTTCCCTCTTCCTCTTCCTCCCTCCTTCCCTGCCTTCTCCTCTCTCCTCTCTCTCTCATTCCTCCTTCCCTCTTCTTTCCTCTTCTCTCTTCCTTCCTTCCTTCCCTCTCTCCTTCCCTTTCCTCCTTCTCTCTCCTTCTCTCTCCTTCCCTCCCTCTTCCTCCCTTCCTTCCCTCTCTCCTTTTCTCCCTCCTTCCTCTTCCTTCCCTCCCTCCTTCCCTCTTCCTTCCTCTTCCCTCCTCCTCCCCTCCCCTCCTCCTTCCTCTCTCCTTCCTCCCTCCTTCCCTCTCTCCTTCCCTCCCTCCTTCCTCTCTCCTTCCTCCTTCTCTCCCCTTCCCTCTCTCCTCCTCCCTCTCCTCTCCCATTCCCCTCTTCCCTTCCCTCTTCCCTCTCTCATTCCCTCTTCCCTCTCTTCTTCCCTCCTTCCTCCTTCCTCCCTTCTCTTTTCCCTCTTTCCCTCCTCTCTCCTTCC